CATCGACGTCAGCGTTGCTTCATGTGTCCACCCGTAGCCTCCATCGTCGCCCTGCCAACACCGGCCACCTATCCTACTCTGATTCGTTCGCCGGTCTTTGCATCGCCGGAGTCGACCCTTATTGCCCCCGCCACCACTTGGACAAAAATACTCACCTTCGAGCTGGGTTTGTTCTAAAAGGAGCCGGCGGACGACCGAGATGCCGCAGAGCCCCGACGAGGATCTATGTGGCACCGAAATTGTGGCCACATCGACAAAATCAGGATGATCGAAGTTCGGGAATGGCTAGCTTGGACGGCGACCGGCGAGCATGGAATGAGGAGAATCTTCCACCTACGAAGTCGGCAGGCCGTCCCGCGGCCCTTCCAACAACCCGTAGCATCGGCACCGCGTCAATACCGCCGACCTAGTCTATCACCTCCTCCCCCTGCGAAGTGTTCGACGAATTGACTAGGCGCATTTTTTTTGCTTTTTCATTGTGTTGTACTCTTTTTGCAATCAAATTCAATCTAAAAAATTGCATAGTGTAGATGAAGAGGTTGAGGAATAAGTTCTTTGACGAGTTTTCATCGGAGGAACAAGAAGATGAGGACTTTCGGCGACCGAGACTAGAATCACAGTTTCGTCACTTGTACCTCAATCGAGACATAGCAGAGGGCCATGAGAAGCTTATGAAGGATTACTTCAACCCCAATGCAATCTATCCGAAGAAGTATTTTCTCCGTCAATTTCAGATGCATCGAAGTCATTTCCTCACCATTGCAAAAGTTGTGGAAAGGAATAATCCATGGTTTAAATTGGGAACAAGTGCATCGGGAGAGATAAATGCGAGCCCATTGATGAAGTGTGCCGCGTCTATTCGAGTGCATGCATATGGTTGTTCGGCCGAGGCCATTGATGACTATGTCTGCACTGGGGAGATTCAATCCTAGAGGTCGTTCGAAGATACACACAAGCCATGATTGAGATCTATGAGAGGAGTACTTGAGGGCACCCAATGATAAGGACATTGAGAGACTCTTGGGTTTGAGTGATGAACGAGGATGACCAAGGATGCTTGGATGAATTGATTGCATGCACTGGACATGAAAGAATTGTTCTGGAGGATAAAAAGAGTGTTTGACAAAAAAACTACCAGTTTAGGGATTCGCGTCCCACAGAACTATCATTTTTTTAAAAGTGGACGAAAACTACCAAAAAACGTAATCACATGACTAAAAACTACCAGGTTGACTGAATGGTGGTTTTGACCGTTTTAACCACGATTCTGACGTGATTGGCCAACGTGCCAGGCCGGCGGCCCACCTAACGGCTAAAGGCGCGCGCGGGGGGCCGTTAGAGCTCGCACCTGGTCGGACCAGGTCATAACCTGGCCGACCGGGCCGCTCATCCCCAGCAGCTCTCTCACTCTCCCCTGAGCTCACTCCACTCCTCTCTGCTCTCCTTTGCTTCTGTTTCTTCTTCTCGCACTCCGGCAATGCCGCGACCATGCCGTTGTGGCCGAACAGCAACGAGACGTCGGACGATGATGACGAGTACATGAGCGAGTTCAGCAGCATGCAGATGGAGTACTTTGTAAGTCAGCTCAGTCTATCCTCTCCCTCTCCTGTTTGTTTTGTTCTAGGGTTAGGGTTAGGGTTTGAAGATATTTGAGATTTTTCCATTTAAGTTGATATATGTGAGTTGTTGTTGATATAGATATGCTTTTGTTGTTGCAGCAAACTCATGACACTGTGATAGACCCTAGTTTATGTGGGCTTGTGACTGAATCTGACAAAAGGTGCATCCTGCACAGGCAGAGGCCGGGCAAGTTTGTGGCATTTGAAGGAACTGACACTGGCAGGAGATTCATAGGATGTGCTACTGAGGTAATGGACCAAGTTGGTGTGGATTTGATTAGCTTGAATTTCTGCTATGTAGTGGAAACGGAGTGTTTAGTTGCTGTTTTCCCGAATTTTCCTTAAGTCTAAAAACATTGGTATGTCTGAATACTGTACTTGTAGTAAAGAGCACTGGAAACATATGAAACATATTGATGTATTGTATTTTTAGTATAGAACTAACTAGCTAGTGTAGCTATTTATATCATTATTGTTTATGATTTGTTATTCAAAATTTGCTTGTTAACTGTGGTGTTCACTGTAAATTTAAATTGATTTTCAGGATGGTGT